CTTTAATGCTACCTGTTCTGACCTGTCTCCCCGGTGTGATGTTTTTGTAATGTGTGTATGATTGGAAGAGGTCCAATTTCACTGCAGGCAACTGCTAGTGACAAATAAAGCTTCTTCATCATCATCATCATCATCATCGATCAGGGGACGACGGTTGGGCACGCAGGCCCTTTTCTACTGTTTAGGAAGCCGCCAGTGCTGTCGGCTCCTTTGTGTCTTCATCCTCCCATCTTAATATTCTACATATTTTTCTATTCTATATTCTAGTTTTTATGTTTTTACAATGCTGTCTCCCTGATTTTTTTGTTGTTGTTTTGCAGATTTGTCACACGTTTCAGATCAATCACAATAGACGACGATAACATGAGTAAATATAAATTGCAGTTTTAAATAATGATTTCATCTATTAACAGAAAAAAATCTATCAAAACCTATGTGGAAAAAGTATGTGACTCAAAAAAAACGTTGTGCCACCCCCTTCACCGCCAAGTTTTCTTTTCCTTTTTTCTTTTATATTTACTTTTCCTTCTTTGCTCCCATTTATAAATTTTATGATCATTTAGTTTTTATGATGTCTTTACATTCCTCCACAATAGCAAGATTTTATCAATGGACTTTGACAAGGCAACTTACTTTCCTCTGAGGTGAGCTGACATTCTGCCACACTCCATGGTATGTACGTATGATTTGATAAAATTCCTGTTAATGATAATTTACAATGACAGTAATACCTTACAATGCATAACAATTCATAATATCTTACAATTTATTTATTTATTTGTATTTATTTATCTCTTTCTATATTAGTATTAGTTTCTGTTGGTGGTACACAGTGATTGTTTTTTACAAAAACGGCATTAATACAGATAATTGATATTAAGTATACAGTGCAATTTATAGCAGATACGTTGTACAGTAAAATGACTGCTTACACATTTCCTGAATGCTTCAAAAATCCAAGCTAAATAATCCCTTAGAAAAAGGAAAGATCTCCTAAACACATCACTGTGTCTTTTTCTTTTATTCTTATTTAAGTAGACTTTGCTGATCTCTGTAATACTACATCAATTACATTTTTTGTTTTTTTTGTTTTTACATAAGCCAAAAATGAGGACATTTATCTTTTGCTGGGTTTTTCTTTGCATCCTGTTGTATTCAGGTAATGTATATTTAACATACTTGTAACAACTTGTAAAAGTTTTCATCAAGATCTAATGGCATCACTAAAACTACAGTATTGATGGTTTTTCATATGCTAAAACCTACATAAATCTTAAGCACTTGCTAACATGATTTCTTTGATAACTATGCTGTATAATTATGTGCTTACATTTCTACTCTAGGTAATGGGATTGGCCTCCACACTGAAAATTGTGTCTATTTTAGAACAGCCTCTTATATGAGCATTATGTCTAAAAGATATGTAAAAAAGAAAAGAAAAGAAACTGACATGATATTGTTTTAAATCTGTTGGGTTTATATTACCATGCACCCACTTCGGATACTACCAGTCAATACATTGGGTGTTATTATCAGAAATCATTTCCATAGATATGGGCCAGAAGGGACCTTCTCTACCTTCTAGTTTGTTCTTAAGGTTGTTCTCATCCATCCAGATGGAGGATCACTAACAGGAGCGTGGGAAGACTCCAGAATCCACTCTG